GCTTTAATTCAAATAACTTTATTATAAATTCTTTATTTATATATTATGATTCTGGAAAATAAATGTTTGAATATCAGAGATGTCTCTTGGGATTTGTTATAACCTGAGGATTAAGCCAGCAGACTGCACTATACGCATTGATGTTAACAATCATAGAAAAGTTTTTCACATTTGGACTTCATGTTTTTTCGTAAAGTACCCACAGATTACTGAACACCGTGTACTTTAATGGCAATGTGAACAGCACAGTCGGACCCACACATTTTTATCACTGATACCTAATCCAGAGTAAACAGGGGTGTGAAACGCTTTAATGCCCTTCCGTGTCAGTGAAACTAAGCGAAAGCTGCACAGCAGAGTGTCGTGACACTTTTGTGGTTTAAGGCAGATAATTTCAGGGGTTTGAATACTTTTAAACATGACTGGTGCTAATTAAAAAAAAGGCTGTAGCTCCGAATGTGAGTTTGTGGTGACCTGTAGAAGGTGTACTTTGATAAGTGATTAAGAAAATAAATGAATGGATGAAAATTTCAACAAACACCTCAGTTTAATGCGTTATTGGTTTGAGCACGCAACTGTTTTATCAGTTGCTACTTTAGCCATAATTCAGCTGTATTGAAAAACTCGATTCATCTATTCTCCTTCACTTATTCACTGGAAACTCACAGGAAAGGCAGGAAGTCAGGACATTTCCACAGCATGTGAAGTTTAAGAATTTTTGAAATCTCAGTGTACATGATGTGCAGTGCCTGACATGGTGTTCATGTGTCCTGCTGTAACTCCAGCCTTTCATTCATCTAACACCATTTGTTGGTGTTGGCTGTGCGCCTAAATAACTCCTGAGAAGCCGCACTTGTTGGTCAGTGCTCACCTGATTTATGTCAGTACAGCACAAAAACACTGATGAACACACAGTTCCCAACATTAAAGCCTCTGCCTTATTAAATTTAAGTTCAGTGCATCCCCTACTCAGTCTCGTGTTTGATAACAACTGATTACTTACTGCAGCATCACATGCTGGTGTTGTGCCAAAAAGTGATTGCCTGCCAAAAACTGATTTCTGGTATTTGCCAAAAACTGATTGCTCGTATTTAAATTTCTATAAGTAACTTGTTGGGCTATAATATGTGAAAGATATGTCAAATGCATCCCTCATGGATGACATAAAGTCATATTGAGCTACAAACAACATTAGTGTAACAAGGTCTTTGGCAGTGACTTTTATATAACCTTTATTTATGTCATTAAAAAAATCGAATTAACATTAAAAATGTCTTTTGTAAGAAGTAATTGGACAGCAGAAATGGCTCAAATATTACAATAGTTCTGTAAAAATCTTTAAAGTGGGGATAAAGGACCGGATTGGTTATAATGTAAGTACAATAACACAGAGTTGTAAAGATACTTGAAAAAACAGCTAATTTTTTAATTCCATATATAGCCCCTTTGTAAACGCTGTTCACCGAAGTCTATTTACCAACATATGTAAAGATATTACACATAAAAAATACAGGCAAACATTGGAAATCAGTTTTTGGCACAACACCGGCATTGCCAACCTGGAGAACAGCCATATCGATTGTGTTAAGCTTGTTTAAAAGCTAATTACCAGGAGCGGTCTGAGCGAAACTCAAAATTTATATATTTTAAAATAAACCACAACTAGACTTTTAGTTCGGTTTTGTTCGTAGAAAGCGCCGAATCACTGCTGACGTTTTGTTTTTGTTTTTAATGAATTTTATTTTATTTTTCTTAGCGGGAGTAAGTACCGTATTTGTTTGGGTCTACTTTCAGCTGCGGATGAATACATACTCGTGGCAATGAAGGAACTGTGAGACAGTGGAGCTATCAGACTTGTAGCATGAATTTATTGCTGCTTTTAATCTTGTTAGAGGTTAGCGGTCGGTTCATTTCAGGAATGATAAAGATGAAATAAAAAAGGAAAGCAGACTGATAGCCCTAAGTCATCATCGATGGTGAGAAATGACCCTGATTCTACATTTCAGGAATAAACAGGAGCTTTGTGTTTAGAGGTGCTTAGACCTCAGAGGGAATTTTAACAAGGTGTAGTAAACGATATATTACTTTATTATTTTTGGCTTCTTTAAAGAAGAATCATACATTTTCTGCCCACCTTGCTGAGCTGTTTGGTTCACTCAACACGGACCTAGAAAATTGTTGCCTGCACTTCAGTGTCATATATAGCAATTTAACATGTACTGTAATAGCAGTGAATTAATGATGTTTTTCTTTTCTTGCGCTTGCTTTTCATTCCTCAATGCAACAGTGCCTTTTTAAATAGCTGCCGTGTTTCGTAAAAATGACCCACACTGATAATTTCACGTGCTTTCAGAAACAAAGAAGCAGATGATTTCGCGTTTCACGTCAGACATTTGAAACATTTCTTAGAAGGAAGATTTCAAAGGCGCTGATCACAGCTCACACACAAGTACAAGCTATTATAACAGAGTATTGAATACACTTTTCAGGTATGAACTGTATTGCAGTAAACAAAGATGTAAGCACCAACAGAGGATTTATTAGTAATTTTTAGATGCTTGTCTTGCTTTAATTCAAATAACTTTATTATAAATTCTTTATTTATATATTATGATTCTGGAAAATAAATGTTTGAATATCAGAGATGTCTCTTGGGATTTTTTTAAAAGATTTTATGTACTTTTACGTGCCCCGGTTATTATTGGAGAATAAAATACAGCCTCTCAGACTGAGAACTAATGTTCTTCTTATTTTTGATTAGTACACATAATATTGGTGTGTATTTATTTGAAGTATACTGAAAAAGGTTTGTGAGTGGGATTTAATCCCGATCTCCTGAAGCCCAGCAGTTGTTGGTAAGTGCCCAATAAATTAGTGGAAACAGTCAAAATTTGATCTTACTAGGAAAAAAGACCATTTGATTTTATACCTAATAAAATTATAAAAATGGATAAGAGATACTTGGGAGAAACTCTTTCTCTGCTGACATTTTTACTTTGGCCGAATTTACACACTATAATGGCCTTCATATAGTCCTTAGGGCTCCACAGCATATGATACCTGTTTGGTTTGGTCCTCTATGTGCAAGAATTATTGAATGTCATGCTGAGGAGAAAGTAAAACTATATTATATGTGTTCTCTTCAAACTTGTTTTCATAAGTGCTTGTTTAAAAACTAGAACAAAAATAACAAAAAAAAAAACCCAACATGGATGTAATACAAGGCTTTATTATCAAATATAAGCCCGTATACTCTGTTTATTTTTTCTTATAGTATGAAAGGGTTGACACTGATTTTATATTTTCTTATAAGAATTAATAAATTCCAAATATTTTTTTTCATGGTCAAAAAGTTTGGTGTCAACATTTTATGCTCAACTGTTCAAAAATGGTTGATCGGTCTCTGCTGATGCTGGTAACATTGCACTGGTGTCTGTCTGTCTGTCTAAATTAATATAAAAAACTGGGATCTGACTTGTGCTGTAAAGGGCAGGCAATATGGTAAGAAAATGACATCCATGTGTCCCCTGTTATGCTACAAGAATCATGTGTAATGTTATTATTATACTTTTATGTATTATACTATTTTTAGAAAATGCAAAAATGGCGCTTTGTGAAATGCTTCACAAAGCGCTGTGTTTGTGTTTCACCAGTAAACTGTCATATGAAATATATAAAACCTAACTTTCATGTAAAAACATTTTTTAAGAGTTTTAGCCAAAATTGGCGTCACAGTGTCAAAAGGGTGTAAATCTTTCCTACACAGACAATTAAACAAACCGCCGTGCCTTTATTGTGGAAGGGAGGAAGTCGTTTCCAGCAACATAAGCAACGACGCTAACTGCCGCCATCTTGTGGCCAATGTGTGAAATGAGCCGTTTTCTTAGTGTAAAACTTTCCACAGCTGTCCCACAAACGTTGATTCGTGGTACAAAAACGATAGTTGAACAGACATGATGACAGAGTTTGATATTTTGTGTAATGTCGCTCTTTTTTTTTAACGTCCTCTGAGCCGCGCAGGCGTCAGCTAAATGAAAGTGAAAGTAAAAGTGAAGCGGGTGCTGCAGACACTTAAGCTAGCTGTGCTCTGTGAAGGAGAATAATATACGGTAGGTAATCTAAATTAATCCCGATTAACTCAATTTTAAATACATTTTAATGCGTCACAGGTGTATACACAGGTAAATGTGAAACGGCAACAAACCTAAACGGCCTATTACTGAAGTTACCTCCTCAATTAAGAAAGCTACAATGAGAACCAGCAGCTGCAGATATGATTTATGCTCCAGAGTTGCATTAAATAGCTGTAAGGCTTTGTTAATATAACTATAACAGGTATTAGTGTTAACGTTTTGCTCATATTTTCCATAAGTGTGATGTAGACAGTTTGAAAAACAGCATCGTTTTATCCCCGGAGTCAGAAAATGTGTCTCTGTGGTACTTAGAGTAGATTAAATTAAAAATGCAGGACCTATATTTTTACTTTTTTGCATATTTTATTCATTGATTAAGGATATATTTGTTGAGAGTAACCCTAAGACTGCGAGAGTGGGTGTAAATAAACAAAAACTGAAACCAAAAAACGACACAAAGTATAATAAATAGAGATGAAATGTGGTTATTTTTAGCCTTTTATTGTTTGGTCCAGTTTGTTATTACACCGTGTCAGGTGAGGTTTTGGTCCAGATGTTTGAGGCTTGAGGATGACCTCATGATCGTGAGCCAAATGCTTCACAAAGCGCTGTGTTTGTACTGTAATCTCTCCTCTGAAGTCATGAAAAATTAGGCTCCTGACTAGTGTTATTACAGTATAAAATTTCATATTACTTTACCTTTTTATTAATTTTAAATTTTTAGTTTCAGTTTACGCTAGTTTCACTTTGTTGTCAGATTTGATCCTTGCATTTTGGAATAGGAAAGGTTTAGTTTCAGTTCAGTTTTACTTTTTATTTTCTCTGATATTTTCTATCGATATTTATTAATTATGTTCTTATAAAACCACTTAAATGAAAGTTGGGCCACAGTAGCAAAAGGTCCTAAATTAACCAAAAGTCATTCAGGCACACACACAGTCATACATACACACATTAAACTTGCGCAAATTATGTACCAATGAAATAGAATATCTTAAAACAGAATTACATGGAGAGATGTGAATTTAAACGTACACCTATGAGATCTAGTTTCCAGCTTCTGTGCGTGTGTGTCAGGCTTTCCGGACTGATGCACGACCACTGATACATTTGCGGAGAATGGTTCCTTTTTTATTTAAATGTTTGTGATGAAGATTAACAGATTAGATATGTCCTCATCAGCCACTTGTATCAAAGTACCAGAGGAGGCAGCTGATAACTGGCAGGTTCTGAGTACTAAAGACTGTAGAGGAGCTAGAAACACTAAATATCATGTAAACATCTCATGCACATGAGCTAGTTGCACCAAAACGTCCTGCTGCTTGTTGGAAATGTGATCACATTTACATTTTTAAATACATAAAGTTCTCGTTTTCCAAATTCTAGTTATTATTTTTATTCCACTAACTAAAATATTTTTTTTTCACTACTAGTTGCAATTTTTTAGTTTGTTTTAATTAACTGTAACAGCTTCAGTGCTGACAAATACCTTTCATACTACAATAATTAATTAAAAAATGTAAATAAGAAGATGAAACAAATTAAGCAAACACTAGAAACTAAATGAAACTAAACTAAACCAGATAGAAATTAATAAAGAAAATGTCTATTTAGTGTTTAAGTTTCTATTTTCATCTTCTTGTGGAAGGAAAAATGTTAAGGACCATTTACACAGGGACCAATTAACTCATCATGCATTGTTTTGCAGATGATGGTTGGCCACTAGTGGACAGTCCGGGCTCCATGTAGTATTTACTACCAGGTCATATGCCAGTCAGTGGTTTCCTGTGCACTCATTGTTAGTCGCTCACCTTGAAGGTAATGGCCGTTTGCTTCCTGTATGAACGTTTTTTGGTTGAAGTAGAAGCTTTTCAATCTGATTTAACTATTTTCCTGTGAAAGAGAAAAAGAAGATACTCAAATCAACCAATCAGAACGGTGAAGTTCAAAAGAATCAGCTTCCCACTATGAGCTGCTCACACCTGCAATAGTTAACTCTGAACTTTAACTCCTGTTCGCCCGATTTCCCCCCTCTGGCAGTTTCCACTGTCATTGAGATGATTGGGATTAATAGTTAAATATTTTACAAAAAGACACACGTTTGGGAAATATAATTGTTTTCCTGATAAAGTAAATCTAGATTTTAAGACATCTTTTCTGAGTGACTGTAATACTTGCTGTTGTAGGATCCGATTGAGCCTCCTGCGTTTTCACCGCCAACCGAGGGTAAAATGACGGACGTGGCAGCCTCAGGATTTTTCGTCCTTGTTTTCGATGCAGTTCTGGGTTCATCGCTGTGGACCGGGCTGCTGCTGCTCGACTGCTCCAGCTGTGGTGGACTGGAAGGCGTGTGGGCCTTTGGAGCTGTAAAATGGGTTTTCCTCCATATTTTCACCTCTGTGCTGACTGATGGAAAGCCCCAGCCTGTCCTCCGCAGGTTGGTGGCGCTCCTTTGCCTTCTTCCTCCCGTGTTTGAAAGTGGACGCTTCCTTAAAGCATCTCCATCTGAGCCTTACTCGGGCCCATCTCCCAACCTCAGCATGCTCCTCCTGGGCCCGATGGCCTCATCTCTGGCCTGTTTAATTTGGGAAAAGGGCCTCAGTGGGAATGGAAAAACAAAAACGGACAGCGTCAAACTGGATACCAGTGGGCTGCTTATGAGGACACTAAAATATTTCAAACCAGACACTCTCTACCTGATCGCAGCGTTCGGTTTCCTCATCTTAGGAGTCATCTGTAAGTATAAAACAATCCCATTTTATAGTGTGTTAGATAGAGCACATGTGTTTATTACAGTGTAAGACATATGGATCAGAAACATGCAGGCAGAAGTAGCCGTGTTAGGATCAGAGGGTGGAGGGCAAGCTTGTTAGCAAGCACCCCGTTTTTTTCTTCATAGAGGAATTTTTGTTGCGTAAAAATCCTCAACCTTGTGAATATGACAACAGCTGAAAGTAGCTTTTAATCACAAAGGTGATTAAAATGTCAAGTTTCAAAACACCAAAATGGTGATTGTGAAAATCTCACAGCAGGACTTCACTAACGAGTGAGTGGAATGATTGTGTCTACATTCATCTTTTATACTGTTTATTGGTAATGCTAATGAGGGCAGCGTGGAATATTGCAAAGTAGGGAAAAGTAGGGAGTGCAAAGTGACCACAGCAGATAAAACAGGAAATTACTTGAAACAGAGAGTCAACAATCACAAGGATTTGTAAAAAGAATTAAAGAATAAAAGCAACATTCGGAAAAAAGGCATGGATTCAAATTGCAAGACGTAATTTACTGCTTTGAATGACTAACTATGATAATATAAATTGTCAACTGACTGATTTTGGTTAAAAACCTCATAAAATATTTCTAAGAGACCGGACTTGCTGTTCTGTGTGCATCAGAGTGGAAACAGAAGCTGCAGAAGTTTGTTTATAGGTTAGGAGGCCTTGAATGTATCTATTGGTCTTATTCTTTCTGGAATCCAAATCCTGTTTGACCTGAAAGGTCCTGCATGTTACTTCATTCAAAGTAAACAAAACTTCTCTTTTACTCTGTTTAAGGTTTTTTTCTAATCAGCTGGAAGAGAATGAACCTTTGAGTCTATAAATCCTCTCTAAAACACAGTATATAAGTAAAAATTAGACTGTGAGAGCAGATTTTCTCCTAACCATCGATTCCTGCTGCTGAGTCTGTGTGCTGGGATGGCAGAACTAGCCACATTGGAATATTTGTTCCAAAGGCCAGCACAGATTTGAACCATTCGTTTATGTCCACGAAAGGACAAATCAATACGAGAGACGAGTTATTTCAACATTAGCATGTTTTAAGGTCCACGTGCAGGTTTTGGCATTTTAAAAAAATAGGCTGGGCAAGATGATTTTACCATGACAGCACTTTTCGTGCCTGCAGCATGTCCCGGCACCTGCTCATCCAAGATTAGTCACTTCTGCTAAGAAACTCCTACAAAGAGGGGGCTGGCTTAAAAATGCACAGTCTGTCTTTTATATACAGTCTATCATCAGCACTCATAACATAGTCAGTAACAAATGTGATTTCCACCACACACTACATGTCCTTAAATACTCACTACGGTTTAACACTGCTTTCGAAATAAGTTTTTAATAAGTTTGTTGACTTTGTCCCTGTTTACCTTTATACCTGTCATCCATCTTTCCTCACAGGTGATACGTTTATCCCGTTGTATCAGGGGAAGGTCATTGATATGCTGAGTGGTAAAGTACTTGAAGCCGGCTTCGGTTATGCGCTCGGAGAGCTGGTTCTTATTTCTCTCGGAAGGTGATGAACCAAAACTGTTCCCATCATATCTTTGTCTCTCAGATATTCGTAGGAAGAACATTTATTTACTTGGCATCTCTCTGATTTTTGTGTCTTTCCATCTTAACAGCGCGCTCTTCTCTGGTATGAGAGGTGGTATATTTATGTGCACCTTGGCCAGACTGAACAAGAGGCTGAAGCATTTGCTGTTTCACACCCTCCTGAAGCAGGAAGTGCAGTTCTTTGATGAGAACAACCCCGGTGAGAGGAGCACGACATGTCTATTAAGATATTTAGGGACTGCATGAATTTGCAGGGTCAACAATGCCAAAGGTTCCCCTAATGAAAATATTAACGCTGATTTAACCCTCGGTAAATGGAGCACCATCTTAAAATGCAACTAGTGTCTAAAAAGCCTAATAATCTAAAACAAACATTGAAGCTGTGCAGATTTAAGCGGTTACTGAACTCTGTCCTTTTCTCTGTTTCACCATCCAGGTCGTCTTTCCTCCCGCCTGCACTCTGACGTGGACAGGATGGGCCGCACGGTAGCGCTGAATGCTAACGCCGTGGTTCGCAGCACAGTAAAAACCTTCCTCATGTTGGTAGTGATGTTACGCCTGTCCTGGGAGCTCACTGTGCTCACCTGCATAGAGATGCCACTCTTAGCTGTAGTGCAAAACAAATACAGCACCTTGTATAAGGTAGGTGTAAAAGGACGAAAAAACAGCCAGACTTTTCTTTATCTTTTTTTGTTTGCAGCAGGAAAGAATCAAGGATATTAAACTTTATTTGTTGATCCTGATTTGTTGTCTGACAGGAGCTGAAAGAGCAGATTCAGGACTGCCTAGCTCAGAATGCAGACCTGGCTTCCCAGACGGTCAGCGGGATTCAAACCGTCCGCAGCTTCAAGGCCGAGGAAAACGAAATCAAGAGATATCAGGAGGCTCTGGAGCAGATGCGCGTAGTCAAGAGACGTTCAGGAATCTACAGTTCAGTCTTTCTCCTAGTGCGGAGGGTAAGGCGACAGTCATGTTACAAGCAAGGGAACATGTTTCATTCTCAGCTCTAACTGCACATGTGCTAATATTTAAGCACCAAGAAGAAACTGTACCCTGGTTTCTTAAAGCATTTTAGTATTTCCCCAGTATTTGATATGTGCTGACCAGGGTTTTAATAGTTTTGCAATTTTCATTAGTTTTTATTTTTATTTAGTTTTGACTTCAGATTTTCAATTTTATATCAGTTTTAATTAGTTTTTACCAATTGTTTGCTAGTTTAGTTT